GCCCCTCCTGCTTGCTCCCACTGTCCCTGGCGTCACTCGGCTCGGGTGTCACTTCCCGGCTTGACCTCAGGCCTGGGGAGCGAGAATACTGGTGGGGCTCTCTGGAACCCCTGCGCCCGGTGGCCCATAACCAGCCCTGCGTCCCCCACTTGGGCTGGGACCCCAGGAAGGCCCGCTCGGGTCTCCTCCCATGCACTTGAGAGCCCTGGGGCCTCCGGGACACCAGCCCCGGCGTCTGTCCTCGGCTCAGCGTGGCCTCGGAGCCGCTCGGGGGCAGGTCCTCGGGGCCCTCGGGGCCTGGATGTGGCTGCTGGGCTCTGACTGCGCACACGGGGACCTGGCGAGCTGGGCCTCTCAGACTCGGTGCCTCTCAGGGTGCGGCCAGGAGGGTGGACTTGGTTTTGGGAAGCTGTGGGGGCTGGGGGCTGGCCCATCATCACGGGAGCACGTGCTCAGGTAGCTATTCCCGCCCCTTGGGGCCACCTCGGAGCCACTCCCAGGCCCTCCGCCCCGCCAGAGGTGCAGCTGTGCAGCCCGCGAAGCTGGGCTGTCACTGTCCCTCTGGCCTCCCTGCCTGCCCTCAGGCTCGGTCTGGGTAGAGGTGAGGGGGTAGGGGGCTGTGCCCGAGGGTCTGCCTCCTGGACTGCCCGGGAGGCTCCCGCAGGTCTCAGGCAGTGCACCCGGACCACGTCGACCTCAGCCTCCAGCTGACCCCGTGCCCTGTGCGCGTCGCCCCCTTGAAGTGCCACCCAGCAAGGAGGGTGGGGTCCAGCCAGCACTGTCTGGTCGTCCGGGCCCTGCACCAGACCTGCCCCGGTGGGGGCGGGGGCGGGGTGTCTGTGCAGCCCCCGCAGCCCGGCCCCCACCGCGCCCTGCTCTGTTGCAGCGAGAACGAGGCCCTGTGGCGGGAGGTGGCCGGCCTGCGGCAGAAGCACGCCCAGCAGCAGAAAGTCGTCAACAAGGTACGCGGCGGGCCGGCGGGGCGCCCGCTGGGCCCCGGCCCCAGCCAGGCTGACCGCACGTCCCGTCCGCCCCCCCCCCCACAGCTCATCCAGTTCCTCATCTCGCTGGTGCAGTCCAACCGGATCCTGGGGGTGAAGAGAAAGATGTGAGGCGCCGGGGTGCCCGTCCCCCCGCGCTGGGGCCTGGGTGCCGCCGGCGCAGGCCGCTAACCCTGCCCTCCCCCGCAGCCCCCTGATGCTGAACGACGGCGGGTCCGCGCACCCCCTGCCCAAGTACGGCCGGCAGTACTCCCTGGAGCCCCTCCACGGCCCGGGGCCCTACTCGGTGAGCGCCGGTCGCCGCTGGCCTGGCGGGGGGCGGGGGGCGGGGGGGCGGGGGCCGGCGCCGCCTCAGCTCGAGCCACACCTGTCGCCTCCCTCGATGGCAGGCTCCGCCCTCGGCCTTCGGCGGCTCCGGCCTCTACTCCTCGGACGCCGTTTCCAGCTCCGGACCCATCATCTCGGACATCACCGAGCTGACCACCAGCAGCCCCTTGGCCTCCCCCAGCAGGAGTGTGGATGAGGGGTGGGGACCCGGTCACCTCCCCGGGGGTCGGCGGAGGGCTGGGCCCGCGGAGGAGCCCGCTGATGTGTGTGTGTCCCCGCCCCCCAGGCCCACGTCGAGCAGCCCCCTGGTGCAAGTCAAGGAGGAGCCCCCGAGTCCTCCTCAGAGCCCCCCGGCGGAGGAGGCGAGCCCCGGGCGCCTGACCGCCATGGCGGAGACGCCCCTGTCCCCGACCTCCCTCATCGACTCCATCCTGCGGGAGAGTGAGCCTACCCCCGCCGCCTCGGCCGCGCCCCTCCCGGATGCGGGGGCCCGGCCCCCCTCGACCCTGCCCGCCTCGTCCCCTGAGAAGTGCCTCAGCGTGGCCTGCCTGGACAAGTGAGTGCTGCCCCGCGCCCTCTGGACATGACCCCAGCCTCTGGCTAGGACTGTCCTGGGGGGCTCGACACAGGTGTTGCTGGGGGTGAGTCTGCAGACCTGGTCGTGAGCTCAGAGCTGGAGTGGGTGGGGCGGGAGACCGGGGCCACCCTGGCCTCCCCACGGCCCTGTCACAGCCGGAGCCAGGAGTGTGTGGCCCGTTACAGCGGCCTCTGGACCACCTTGGACCCAGCTGTCACCTGGTTCTCCTGCCCGACAGAGTCCCTGCCCCAGAGGCCGGGCGTGTGAGGGCGGGGGGTCCAGTGCCCGCCCAGCCCCTGCATGCAATGGGGGCTCTGTTCTTTGTATCTTGCAGTTTGACTCACACTCCACAGATGTCTGGGGTCGCCCGCCTCTTCCCCTACCCCTCCTCCTCCTCTCTGCATGGCCGATTCCAGCCAGGGTTAGCGCTGTCCCCACTGGGGACGGGGGGAGGGCTCCGCCAGAGCTCGGGCCCCTCCTCAGCTGTGGACCACTGGGCCCTGCCTGGTGGACGGGCATCCTGGGCCCTCTGCAGCAGGAGCGCCCCCCCAGCCCCACCCCTCTGGGGCCCAGGCCAGTGCTCCACGTCACTGACTGGGGGCAGGCCTGCCAGCCTGGAGTGGCGACTAGCGTTCCCCACTGCCCTACGGTCTTGCTTTCTCCCAGGGTAGGGCTGGGCCCTGTGGGAGCCTCCAGGAGCTGGCCTGGCCACATGTCCAATGGTCCAGGAGTGCCAGGTGGCCCAGGACATTCTCCGTCACAGCCACCGTATTTGGGTGTCTCTCCCCCGTGCACCAGGGCGGGGACCAGCCCACCGCGCACCGAGCACAGTTCCCTCCCCACCCCCACTGTCTTCCTGTGCAACTGCCCCGGTCTCTGACACCGAGCCCTCCCGGGCGCCTGCTGCCCTGGCCCAGCCTGAAGGGCTGCCATGCCATGGACCTTGCGGGACCCGGCAGCGATGGGAGCAGCCGGCATGGCCCAGGCCACAATCCCCACAGTGGGACCCCCCGGCCCAGGGCACCCCCGCCCTGTCCATGCACCCGGCCCCCCCCCCGCCCCCCGGCTTCCAGCAGGGAGGGCGGTGGCTACAGGGGAGGCGTCTGGGTGGGGGTGCCTGGGGCAGGGCCTCGACTGTCCACCCCCTCTGGCCAGGGCCGAGCTCAGCGAGCACTTGGACGCCATGGACTCCAACCTGGACAACCTGCAGACCGTGCTGACGAGCCACGGCTTCAGCGTGGACACCACCGCCCTGCTGGACGTGAGGCGCGCCCCTCCCCCTGCCCCAGCCCCGCCCCACCCCACCCATGGGCGCCCCCTGACTGTCCTCCTCTCTCGCAGCTGTTCAGCCCCTCAGTGCCAGACATGAACCTGCCGGACCTGGACAGCAGCCTGGCCAGTGTGTGTAGAGTGGGGGCGGGGTGGGGCGGGGCGGGATGGGGCGGAGGGGCGAGCAGGATCCCTCATGGTCCTCCTGTCCCAGCAGATCCAGGAGCTCCTGTCTCCCCAGGAGCCCCCCAAGCCTCTGGAAGCGGAGGACAATAGCCCCGACTCAGGTGAGGGAAGCCCCCCGCTGCCCCCCAGTCCCCTCCCGTCCCCTCCCGCCCGCACCCTGACCCAGCCTCCCCCGCAGGAAAGCAGCTGGTGCACTACACGGCGCAGCCCCTGTTCCTGATGGAGCCGGGCCCGGTGGACATGGGGGGCAGCGACCTGCCCGTGCTCTTCGAGCTGGGCGAGGGCCCCTACTTCTCGGAGGGGGACGACGGTGCCGACGACCCCACCATCTCCCTGCTGACGGGCTCTGAGCCCCCCAAAGCCAAGGACCCCACTGTCTCCTAGAGGGCCCGGGCTGCTGGCCATGACTTGCTTGGGGCTTCACAGCCACACTGGACTGACCAGGACTGTGGGCGTTCACAGTCAGATTGTATTTTGGGTTTTTACACGAGTCCCCCTTTCCACTTCTATAGAAATGTACAGGTGTGTTCACAGATGGACCGACGGACGGACGGACAGACGGACGAGACAGGCAGAGATCTATAAAGGACAGGCTCTACACCTTGGTCTTCTGTGTCCGCTTCCTCCCAGGGGGCACTGAGTGAGGGCCTGGGCCCACCTGGCTCCACCAGACCGGTGCATGCTCAGTGTCAAGGGCCTGGGAGGTGTCCGTGCTGCCAGACCCCCCCTGGGCCCCAAGGTGTCCCCGCCGGGGGCCCACTTGCCTGCCTTCCCAGCAGAGCACCCCCCGGGCGCCGTGCCAGTGTTAGGGCAGGAGCAGCACTGGCCGACGGGGAGGCAGTCCCAGCCCACTGCCTGTCCTGGGCTCTGCCCGGGGGGGGGGGGGCCAGCGGGGCACAGCCCTCCTGACATCTGGCACCCCGGTTGCCTCACTGCTCACCATCCTCCCCCACCTCTGGGCCAGGCGAGGGCTGGGGGTTCAGCAGCTTCTAGTTAGGGTGGGGGCATTTCCTGAGACAGCAGCCTGGCCTGCGGTGCCCCAGTTGGGACCCCCGCCCCTGGCCCCACAGACCCACACTGCCTCCCGCCCTCCCTGCTGGTGGCAGGGTCCTGAGGGCTGCACTGTGAGAGCCACCCAGCCCCAGGGGCAGGGAGACAGGTGGGGAAGAGGTGGAGGTGCCCCTCCCAGGTCAGTGCGGGCAGCTGCTCAGCTGGCGCCTGCACTCCGGCCTCTGCTGCGGACACGTCCACCAAGGAAGAGTCAGTGCTGACCCTTGACTCCTCCACGTCCTGGCCTCTTGCCCCAAACCAAGGTCCGCTTCTAGGAAGGCTGCAGGCACCCACTTGAGCCCCACCCCACACGTGGGAAATGGGTGGGGCTGGACTGGAAGTCGGGCCTAAACGAGCCTTTCTAGGCAGGGGGAGCTGCCGCTGGAGGTGTGGCTGATGGTCTGCCCCCCATCCCCCCCAAGGGCACTGGCCCGCGAGTGAGCTTGGCAGCCTCCCCCAGGGTACCAGCCCCAGGAGGGCCCACGGGACTGAGCTCCCCATCCGAGGAGCATCTCCCTACAGCCAAGGGCCCTTGGGCCTCGTGGTGTGGCCGTCACCTCTACCAGCCCAGCACCCTCAGCAGGCTAGGGTCACTCTGGAGAGTACTTTATTGAAACCCTCAGACCCTTGGGCAGGACCAGCACAGGTTCTCAGGATGCCAGCCTGTGCTGGGTCTCCCGTTCCCGAGAGGGGGAGAGGCAGCCCCATAGGGGCAGAGAGGCCTCCTGAGGGCCAGGAGGACGGGTGGGCAGCCGGCGCCCCCCAGCACGCAGGCAGGGGCAGGGAGGCGGGCGAGACGGCAGTGAGGAGCGCGGGTGCGCCGGCTCAGGCCCCGGCCACCGGGGCCTCGTGGTGCAGCACGTAGTAGTCGTGCACGTACATGAGCACGGCCACCGGCTGCCCGATGATGAGGGAGAGCCACACCGCCGCGTTGCCGTAGTTGCCCCGGAAGAAGCGGCTCACGATCCAGGCCAGCGGGATCTGGGGACAGAGGGTGCGCGGTCAGGTGGTGACGGTGACCACGGGGCTGGCTGCCGTGGGGGGGCGTGGGTGCTCACCTGAGCCATCATGCCGGTGAAGGCCCAGAGGCGGAACATGCGCAGGGGGATGCTCACCAGGTACTGCGGGGGGGGGGGGGGCGGATGGGCGGGCGTCAGCCTGTCCTCAGGACCACGGCCGCCCGGCTCCGGGCCCAAGGCAGGGCGCCCACAGACCACTGACCTCGTGGAAGAAGGCCGAGGCCAGGAACACCCCAGTGCTGGCCACCCACTTGCTGTAGCCACGCCGGAGCATCGGCTTGTAGAAGTGTCTGGGGGGAGAGGGGGGTGTGGGCAGGCGCCCAGGCCCCCCAGGAGCCCGCCCCTGGCCGCCGCACCCGCACACCCACCTGAGGCACCACTTGTGCACAGGGATGTTCCAGTTCTGCCAGAAGTAGGTGACCGACTCGGAGTTCCTGGGGTCAGGAGAGCGGGTGGTGAGGGGCACCGGGGCGGGGACCAGCCCCAGCCCCTGCCCCCGCCCCCGCCCCCACCAAGGTCACCCACCACCAGTCCCGGTAGAACTCGCGGTCTCCGAACTGCATGAGCTCGGCCACGGCGTTCAGGCAGGAGTGGAAGAGCCAGTAGAAGAAGATGAGCCAGATGAGGTGGTTGGGCACCTGCGCGGGAGGAGACGTCGGGTCCCGGGCCCCGCCTCCCGCCCCCCCGGCGCCCCGCCCCTCTGCCCAGCCTGCTCACCGCCAGCTTCAGGAGACGCTCGATGATGCGCGAGTAGTCCATGTCCTGTGGGCACAAGGCTCAGCGGGCTCCCCGGGCCCCCCCACCCCCACCCCCAGCCGCAGGGAAGCCCGGCCGCTCACCTTGAAGGGCTTCATGGAGTTCTGGATGGTGGGGACCATCCACTGTAAAGGAGGGCCCAGCGTCAGCTCCTGCCCACGGAGCACCCCGGCGAGACCCCCTCCGCCCACCCCGCCCCGCCCCGCCCCACGAACCTGCTGGATCAGCCCCACTTGCAGCTGGGTGAAGAACAGCTGGGGGAGGAGGAAGAGAGCAGCCGGCTGAGCCTCCGGCACCTGGCAGCCACCCCAGCCCCACCCAGCCCCCCAGCCCCCCAGCCTCACCATCTCAAAGAGCCGCCGCAGCAGGAAGCGCTTTCGGATGCGAGGGGACCGGGGAAAGTTGAGTTCGTAGCACAGCGTGGGGGCGAAGAGGAAGTAGTACAGATCTGGAAAGGGAGGGCGGGGCTGGCACCGGGGCCTGGCCCGCTGACCCCAGCGCTGCCCCCGCACTGCCCGCGGCCACCCTCCCTGGGGCCGGCCCTGCAGGCTCCTCACCTCGGTAGGTCAGGTTGTCCGGGTAGCTCACGGCACCCGTGCGCTGGGCTGCCGCACCGTTGGCCTTCTTACCTGTGGACGCTGGAGCCAGCGGAGGGGGGAGAGGTGTGGAAGGTGAGGCCCTGCCACCGTCGAGGTCCCGCCCCCACCCCGACCCCGAGGCGGGCAGCCTCACCGGCCTTGGCCTTGGCCCTGGCCCTGTGCTCTCGGCACCACAGGTTGACGTCCCGGTAGGAGAACAGCTTGAGGAAGAGGATGGTGTACACAGCCAAGGCCAGCACAGAGCCCACTGCGGGAGAAGCAGGCTCAGGCCGAGGGCCCCGCACCATCCACGGGAGAGCCACCCCGGGTCCCCCCATGGCTCCCCACGTCAGGCTGGGGCAGGGGAGGGGTGGGGGGCACCTGGAGTGATGGACTCCAGCAGAAAGGCCACGGCCGCGGGGAGGCAGAGGATGGTGGCCAGGTTGGCCGTGTGCAGCAGCAGCCCTGCCTGCTCCGTCAGGGCACCCTGGGGGGCGGGGAGCAGCACTCAGCCAGGGGCCCCACTCCCTGGACGAGGGTCCCCCTAGTGAAAGGCTGTCGTCACACCCAGGGTGCAGCCCCTCCTGGGACAGCCAGGCACAGCCCGAAGCCCCGTGGGGCAGGTGGCACCCTGAGCTACGCCCAGGCCCGGGGAGGGGCAGGTCTCTGGCCGGGGCAGGGGGTGGGGGCGCTGCTTACCACCGCCAGGCGCTTCTCCACCTGGAAGGCAGCCACCGCAAAGGCATTGGCCACTGAGGACAGAAGACCGTGGGGCAAGTTCAGGTTCAGGTGAGCCCCAGCCCCACCCGAGGCCCCCCTCCGTGCCCAGCTCACCGATGACCAGGCACAGGGCAGGCCAGCTGTAGGGGTCCTTCAGGAACAGAGACACCACCTGGATGGGATCCACCAGGATGCCGTACCTGGGGGTGGGGGGTCAAGGCCTGAGCCGGGAGGGGAGCCTGAGCTGGCAGTGAGTGCGGCTGGGCCCCGGGGCCGGGGCTGGGCCTGAGGGGCGGGGGGGGCACTCACTTGATGAGGTTCTCCAGAAACAGCCGCGCGTTGCTCAAGATCTGCAAGGGAGAGGGGCGGGCAGGGCAGCGGCCCTGAGCACAGGGCCCACGGGCCGTCGGGGTGGGGGTGGCAGAGGCTGCAGAAGCAGGGGAAAGGCTGTGGGGCTGCAGGACGCTCGTGCTGCCCGGCTGCCCGGCCACACGCCCGGCCCAGGCCAGCAGCAGCCCCCAGAGGACGAGGACACGTCTCCTGAGAACATGCGCTTGCCCAGCCGGCCTCTCACCCACCAGGCAGTGTGCCCCCCACGGCTCCCCAGGGCGCTTCCTGGGGCCCCCGGCAGGGGCGTGAGGCTGTGCCCGGCACCCCTTCCACGCGGGCAGCAGCAGGACCTTGCCTTTGACCCGGAGGCAGGCGTGTTCGTGTGGGCCAGGGTGAGGGTCGAAGGCCTGCAGCCACATCAGCCCTGCGCGGTGGGGGCTGGGCCCCGGGCAGCCCTTGTCCTCTGCCCCGCCCTGCCTGCGCCTCTGCGGTCCCCGCCCGCCAGCGCCAGCCGCTCTGCAGCCAGGACTGCGGGTCCCACCCCCCGAGGCACCAGCAGGACCTGGGCCCCAGAGGCAAAGGCCTCCACTAGGCCATAGGGTCAGGCAGAGGACCCTTCCAGGGGGGCACCCACGAGCCAGACTGAAGGAGGGAGGCTGGGGGCCCCAGGGAGCCAGGGCTGGAGTTGCTGCACCGAACCCCAGGCTGGGCGGGCGAGGGGCCCCGCACCCACGGGGGCGACTCAGGGGCAGAGGCTCCCCGGACCCCGCACACGACCACGCACACGCACACGCACTGCTGGGGAAGCCCACACCCGCAGAGCACCCCCACCCCGTCCGCGGCCCCTCGGCCCCCCACCCAGGCCCAGCCACCCGCCCTGGCCCCTCCTCCCTCGCCCCAGTGACCCTCAGCCACAGCTCCCAGCACGGAGGCCTCCCGCACCAGCCCCAGCCCCAGAAGCTCCGTGCGCGGACGAGGGCCGGACTCCAGTGACACCCCCGCCCCGGCCACCAGCCTGCTCACCAGCATCACCACACACCAGTTCAGGATGCCGCGGTAGTTGCTGAAGCCGCTGTCCGAGCTGAACAGGGAATCCTGCAGCCGGTGGCACCTGGTAGGGCAGGAGGGAGTGAGGGCCTCAGGGGGCCGCAGGCTGCCCGCACCTCCACGCTCAGGGGCCGGTCGGCACCCTGGCAGATTCCTGGGGGCTCACCCATCCCGGCCCAACAGTGGTGGTCCCCACCCCCCACCCAGCCCCTCTTCTGCCCGCACTCCCTACGCCCCACTCACAGTCTGAGAGGAACCTCCCAGGGCCTGTCCCTCCCCGCGCTAGGCGGGGGCAGGGGCAGGCTGCAGGCGGGGCAGGCTGGAGGGCCCCACACCAGGAGCCCAGTCTCACTCCCCGGAGGCCTCCGGCTGCTGCCCCTCTCACTGGCCGTGGAGTGGTGACGGCCCCCAGACGGTCCCACCCCAGGTGTCGGCGGGCCCACCAGCGGCGCTGGGTGGAGGCAGGGGCGGGAGGCAGATCCACTTTGCTCAGCCAGCTCCTCCCAGCACCCAGCAAGCCGAGGGGTCCCCACCGAAACCCGCTTCCTCCTCCACTTCCACTTGGCCCACAAAGGTCTGAGTGGGCACAGGGACCCGGGCCCAGGGCCAGCTGAGCCCCCAGCCCAATGCGGCCCAGCAGCCTCGGGCACTTGTGGCCTCCCACCGCGTGGAGAAGTGACAGCTGTGCCAGGCTGACCACGGGGAAGTGCTGTATTCCCGACGGACAGGCTGAGGGGTGGCCAGGCACTGATGGGGGGTCTCTCACAAAAGTGTGCAGAACCCCCCCAGGGCTTGGGAGGGGGACACATCAGCCGACCCTCAGGGGGCCAGCGGCGGAGGAGGGGCCCCGGCCTCGCCCCTGCAGCGGGCCGCAGGAAGCCCCACAGGCGTTGAGCAAGGCCTGCAGTGTTGTAAGAGGGAGGCCAGGGCCCCCTTCCTCCTGCAGACACTCGTCTCCGTCTCCAGAGACCGGCAGACGGGGGAGTGGGCTCCAGGGCTCCGGTCAGGGCGGGAGACCCAGTGCCAGCCCAGCTGTGGGGGGTCAGCACTCAGCTGGGAGGCGAGGGGCCAAGAAGCCAAGACGCTGGACGGCCTTCCTCGGCCAGGGCAGTGCGGACGAGCCACCTCTGCTCCCCAGCCATGGTCTGCGCCTCGCCCCCTCCGCCCGGGCTCCTCCCGGGCCTCCTGGCGAGGTTGGGACCTCCGCCAGGGCCCTCTTCTCGGAGTCTGGGCACCTGCCTTTCTGTAAAGTGGGAGGGGGTCCAACCCCCCGCCCCCCGCAAAGAGGGTGGTCTCTGAGCTTGTCCCTGGCACCCTCGGCCAAGTTCATGCCCATTGGGGCTTCCACTGGGACAGGCCCAAGGCTTGCCTCCGGAGGTGCAGGCTGGGCACGCCCTCAGGCTGTGTCACAACACTGTGACCCCTGCCCCTTGGGCGACCAACACCTCCAAGACGAGGATGAAGGTGGAGAAACAGTGTCGTTTTTCAATCTGACGCGAAATTGCATCACAGAACTCTCAGACCTCCTCCAGCCGGCCCTGTGATCCTCCCCAGCCCCAGGCAGCCCCCTTCCCCTTCGGTCAGAGGCCTCGGCCCGGGGCAGAAAGCCCGGGACCCGCCAGTGCCCACGGAGGCCCGGCCTCGCCGTCGCGGCTGGCCGCGGGGAGCCGGAGAGCAGACGGGCACGCCGGCGCAGGCGGCAGGGCTGGCCCCCACCGCGGGGCTGCACGGGTCCCCCTCTCCGCCGCCACCACTGCTGCTGCTGCAGGGGCGGCCCGCACCCGTGCGCCTGCGACGGTCCCGCTCCCCAGGCCCCCAGCCGGCAGGGCCACCCTAACTCATCACATGCGTCACCTTACTGGGAGGCGGGCACACAGGGAAACTGAGGCTCGACGAGGCTCAAATCTTGCCCACAGGCACAGCCCCCAAGTGTGAGCCACGCCTGAGACCACTGGGTCCGGCTCCTGGCCCGAGCAGGACACAGAGGGGGCCGGGTGCCAGCCCCCTGCCCAGCTGCCGCCCCCTCAGCACTTCTCCCGCCCAGCCTCCGGACCAGGCCCTGGGGCGCCACGTGGCCGGTGGGCTCCCCCGCTCTCGGGCCCTGCTGGAAAGGGTGGGGCAGAGGACCGCCCAGGAGCACACGCCCTGGGAGAGCTGTGAACCCGGGGAGAGTGCGGCCCTCCGAGGAGGAGGGAGCCGAAGGCAGGGCAGCCACACCCTAGCCCGGGGCTGGAAGAAACAAACTCACAACTCACACCCAGAGCCCAGCCCGCCAGCCCAGCCCCAGGTGAGCAGGAAGTGCAGGGGGTGGGGGGGTGAGGAAGCTCTGGGAGAGGACAGGCAGGTTACAGGAGGATGACAAGGCCGTGTGCCACGGGCCAAAACCTAGGGAGGCAGCCAGAGCAAGGCAGGCTCCGCCACCCCCCATGCCCTGGCCACAGCCCCCGGGGGCCCGGACCTGGTGGCAGCTGGTTGGAGGCACAGACACACATAACCCCAAAGTCCTGGGCACCAGGAGGGGACTGTGGTCACTAGCTCCTGGGCAGGCCCGTCCCTGCCATCTGCTGCTCCTCTTCCCAGGGGCCCAGACTCCCAGGGTGGGCGGGCTGGGCTCCTGCTCACCCCACCGGGCGGGCGAACGCACAGGAGAGGCTTCTGGCCACCTGGCCCATCGAGGAAGTGCCTGCCCCTCCCGAGTGGCGGCTGGGCCCAGAGCCAGCGCCCCTCTCACAGGGGGGACCCAAGTGCGCCAAGGGCCGGGGCCAGGGGGCTGCCGCGGCCCCAGCCCCAGCGAGGGCAGCTCGGGGAGCTGACAGGGGCACCCTAGGATGCCCATCCTTCCCAGCCGGCCTCAGCAGCACCCCCACACAGGGAGCAAGCACCCCTCTCCGTAGAGCCACCCTCCTCTGGGACCCAGCCTGCGAGAACTTGGAGTCTGACCTTTGCTCACAGGGCTCTGTGCTGAGATTATCTTATCTCCTGGGGGCGCTGTGAGCGCCCCAAGGGCAGGCGCAGCGCCCACACCCCGGCCGCCCTGGCCCACCCCTCGCCAGGTGCCCCTGAAGAAAGCCTCTGTTCTTGTCTCTAAGAGGACAAATCCTTGCCCACTTCCTGCTCCATAGCCATGCCGCACGCCAGAGCCCCCGAGGGTCCCGGGGCCAAGTGAAGGCCAGAGGGGCCAAAGGGACCGCTTGGAGCCAGTTGGAAGAGGGAGCCAGAGTCCAGGCAGCCTCCGCGTGCCCCCACCCCGGGCCTGCCCGTCCCGCACCTGCGGACAGGCCCACTTCAAACCCCTCTCCTGTCCCCGCACCAGGACCCAAGCTGCCCCTGCGGCAAGCACTTGTTGCGGCAACACAAGCGGGGCCCAGGCCGGCCAAGCGCTGGGGAGGGAGGGAGGGATGGAGGGCCGGGAAAGGAACGGGCCGGGTCCTCGTCTAAGGACTGGAGGGCTTCCCACTGCCGCTGCTCCCGGCCTCAGGCCGCCCAGCCTCCCGCTGTCCCCCTCCCCAGCCGGAACCCCTCCTCCACCCCCAAGGCCCCCCTCACAGCCCTCAGGAGGGGCCCCCTTCATCTCAGAGCGCCCCGTCCGCTCCATCTCCTTCCGGACAGAGGAAAACTTGTGCAAGGTGGAGCCCGCGCGCCTGCAGCGCCAGCCGCCCCGCTCACCCCGGGAACGCGCACCCGGACCCACCTGGGGATGTGCGCACGGCTCCGCCCTGCGCCCCCCGCGAGTGCCCTGGGCAGGCGACCCACCCCCCGGGCCTCAGTTTCCCCGGGGAACCCAAGCGGGGCACCTGCCTACGCCAAGTCCGGGGGCCAGGCTCTCGGAAGCGGAACCGCACGGCTGCGACCACGCCGGAGGGACTGGGGAGGGTAGCAGGGGCCCGGGCCAGGGGTCGGAGGTTACGAGTCAGTGGCCCCGCTACCTCAGGTCTCGGTGGCCGCAGTCCGCGTCCGCTTCTCCGTCCTTGTCCTTCTCTGGGGCCGCGGCCGGGGCCGGCGCGTCGCCCCCGGCGCCCACGTCCCGCACCTCTTCTTCCGCCGCCGCCGCGGGGCCGCCGCCGCCGCCGCCGCCCTGGCTCGAGGGCCGCGACCCCGTCCTCCGGCGCCGGGAGCCACCCGCGCCGCCGCGGTCGCCCATGGTTCAGCCCGCACACTGCCACCGAGTCGTGTCCCGCGGGGCTCTAAGCGCCCGAGGCCCTGGGCCCCGCCTCCGGACCCAAGGCCAACCGCCGCCACCGCCCCCTGCCGGCCGCCGTAGCCCGCGCGCGGCCGGGCCCGCCCACCGGCCGCCGCCGCCGCCGCGTCGCCCCGCGAGCCGCTCAGTGGCTGGCGGCCCGGGCGCGCGCCCGTCTGCAGTCCGCGCGCGCGCGGGGCTCTCTGGGAGTCGTGGTCGCCCGGCGCCGCCTGGAAGGCCGCGGCGGCGGGCGGCGGGCCGCGCCCCTGCCGTCCCGGGCGTCGGCGTCTCGGCGGACCGCTGGCTTGGTGGCAGCCGCGCGCCTCCGCCGGCCGCGGGTCTGCCCCACGGCTTCTCCATAAACTCAGGCGCGGAGTGTGGGGTGGAGGGTGGTCATGAAACGCGTCATGCGTTACCGTCCGGCCGCCGGCCGGAGCCCCGTCCGCGGGGACTCGCCGCGCCCACCACCCAGCGCGCAGTCGCGGAGCGGGACCGTAGTGACCGCCAGACCGGACGCCCGCCCAGCCGCGGGTAGGGCGCGGGCCTCCGCTGTGGCCACGCCCCTTCACGCCCCCTCCAACCGGTCTCCAGGCCCACGTCCGCAAACCTGCGGGCCTTCCCCGTTTCCCGCCCGAGCTAGTGTAGCCAGGGCGTGGGGAGCCTGGGGTGTCGGGTCACGGACCCAGAGGCTTCTGTGTCATCGCACAGCTCGTGCGGCCTCCCCGGCGCTAGGTAAAACAACTGATCCACGAACACAGAAATGCAGCACGCAGGTGGGCGAGTCTGCGTCCCACCTCGGCTCGCTCCGCATCCTGCACGGGGCATGGCATGTAAGCGGCATGGATCTTGGGGTGCAGGGGCTTCCCGGAGGCTCAGGCCTGGTTTACCCAAGAAATCTGTAGCAGCGCAGCCCATCAGCCATGATGAGGAGAACACCTCTCGGGAAGCCAATAGCCCCAGAGGCTCAGCCTTAGGTCAGTGGCCTCGCCTATGGGCCTGGCTCGCCCCCGCACCACCACCTCTACGAGGACGCCCAGGCTCCCTGGTGACGCATTCCTGCTGCCACCCGGCTCTCTGGAGCCGATGTCAGCCTGGCATTCCTACCTGGCAGGCTGGGGCTACCTGGCAGGTTTCTTCGAGCGGCCTGCTTGCAGGCCGCCCTAACGGGAGGGAGAGAAGCCTTCGCGCGCCCACGTGGCCCAGCCTCGATGGGTCAGGATCAGCCCCGTCTCCTGTCCAGTCTCCAAAAACGTTCCTCTGTTTGTCAGCCGACCCAGGACAGCAGGGCACTGATCCCAAGGGAGGGAAGACCAAGGAGGGGGTCCTCTTGGGAGGCCGAAGAGTAAGGGTGAGCCCTGGGAGCTCTGCCGCTCCCTCCTCGCTCCATTTCCCAGGCTGCGAAGAGCGAAGACCTGCACTGGCGCCCACGTGTCCCTGAGCGCCTTCTGGCCTTCTCCTTCCCCAACACAGAGCAAAAAATCCAGAAGGATGGCCCGGGCGGGCACGCGGACTGGAGAAGAAGGCCAACGGCTCAGGCTACCAGTAGGCTCGCAGAGGCCGAGCACCATAGCCAACGAGAAGTGCAGGGTCCGAAGGAGGTGGATGAGAGTGTCCTCGTCCTGGTTCCCAGCGGTCTGCTGGCAAGTGGCGGTGGGGTGACGTGTCCAGAATGTACCGGGGACGGGGCTTAGGGGGAAGCCAAGGTTCCCGCACTGGAGTGGAGAGCAGAAAAAGGCAGGGCCGCGCGAGCCAATGGGAAGGCACGGACTGTGAGCGCACCAATGAGGCAGAACCTGGGTACCGGCAGGGGACTTGGGGGGCGGGGCCCATGTAAGCCCCACCCCGAGCAGCAGGCCCACGCGTTCTGACCTGCTGCAGGTCAAGCTCCCCTACTGTCCACCGGATGGAGTCTGGGTGGACCCACCCCCTGCAGCCGTGCTGCCCTTGTGCTGACCTAGTTTAACCAAATGTCTCCAGGACTCTGGGCCTCTCAGCTCCTGCCTGTCTATGGGGGTGTCCGGGGGCATTGCTGGGGTAAGGGATCCCTGTCCCTGGGCTGTCCCCACCCATTACAGCCCCACCCCTCATCTCCCCGACTCGACTCATCCTCTCCAGAGCCCGAGGGCTGTGGGTGGCTGCGGAAGCCTCGCTGGCCCTGGGCACCTCCTCCCCAGGACCGCGGAGGCCTCTCCTCAGACTGCGGGAACCTATCCCCCAAGTCTGAGGGCCTGGACGTGGGCAGAGGGCTGCAGGAAGGATCGGGCCTCACACCCTTTTCACCCTGTTCCACCCCCATTTTCTCCACTGGCCTCCAGAGGCCTCGCTGGAGGCTGCCAGTTCCGCTGGGGCAGCAGGAGCCCCTCCCGGGATCGTGGGGGCAGCTCAGGGCCATCGCACCGCAGGTGCTGCCGTGCCTGCCCTGGCCATTCGGGAACCGCCCGGAGCCGGGCCTGCCACGGGCTGGGTCCCTGGCTCCTCCAGCTCCTGGCACAGAGTAGATTCACCTGCCACAGGAGAAGTGCCCAGTGCTTTGCCTCTGGGAGAGGGATGCCCCTGGGGCTTGAAGCCCCACCCCCCCACCCCGGGGTGGTGCACCCTAGCCAAAGGCAGCAGCGTGCCCCCAGGGCTGCGAGAACAGGGCTGTGCGAGCAGGTGGCACTGGGCCTGTGCCATCCGCACTCCAGGGCACAGCAACACCGGAACGCCCCCCCCGCCCCAGACGTCCCCTGCGGCGCGGGCCCAGCCCCGGATACACCAGCCCGACACTCCAAGTTCTATCAAGAGTGGCGTTTATTCTCCTCGTGGAGGTGCGGTGCTCCGGGGAGCTGGTGCTATTGTGCTTAGGAAGGAGGTCTGTCCGTCCGTCCGTCTGTCCGGCCGGCCCGGCCCCAAACGGGGGCGGAAGAGGGGCGCGGCCCGAGTAAAAATCCCGGCCTGTCCCGGGTGGGAGTATGTACAAGGCGGCGGGGCGCAGGCGGAGGTGGGGGCAGGGCGGGCCGGCGGCCGCAGCCCCCACCCGAGGGCCCCCGCATCTCGGGCCCTACTTGTAGAATCAGTACAAAATAGGTGCTACCTAAACGTTCCTTCTACCTGAATTCGCTAAGTCGGTTATTGTGCTGCTTAGTTATGGGGGCAGGAGGGGGCCCATGGCTTTCCACGGCGGCGCGGTATGGGGAGAAGCGGGAGGCCCTGGCCGGCCCACGGCCCTCCGGCCTTCTCCTTAGGTAGGTAGACAGGCGTGGGAGGGGAGGGTAGAGGGAGGGTGCCTGTGTGTGTGTGTGTGTGTGTGTGTGTGCATGCGGGTGTGCCCGACACAGGAGGGCAGGTCCCGGCCTGGGGGCTGTGTGGGTACCGAGCTGGGATGTAGGGGGTCTGGGATGTGGGCCCCGCTCTGCTGGGCCCTCGGGTCCCCCCCCCCCACCGTGCGGATGCAGCTGGGCAGCAGCGGGGCTTGGTGCCCACGGGGAGGGGGCCGACCAAGTCGTAAGCTCCAGCGTGCACCTTTCCATTTGTCCTGGGGCCCTGGCCCAGCAGGGCGGCGCTGGGAGCCAGAGCGTGGAGGTGCTGGGTGGGTGAGGGCGGCCTTGGCGGCCCTGGGCCCTGGGGTTCTAGGTGTTTGCCACCGGGCTGAGAACGCCAGGCCCAAGTCGAAGGCAGAGACCGACTGCGCCCAGCACTGTCCGGGGGGTGGAGAGGGTGGGGCGCGGGGTCGGGTCTAGGGATTCGGCCCCGTCTGCATCTGCCGCTGTCCCTGGCGCACCCAAGGGCGTCGAGCCCCTGTCGGAATATGCACGCCCCCCGCAGCTCGCCGCGGCCCCGGCAGACTCAGTAGTGGGCCTGGCACATAGTAGGTGCCCGATGAACGGTCAATGGGTGATGGACAGCTGAAGGAGGGGTTTAGGGGGCAACCGTCCCCCCCCCCGCCCCTGGAACCGTTACACCGCCGGGCTCTGCCGTGGGAGGGGGGCGGGCGGGGCGGGTGGGGAGTGGGAGGGGGGAGAAAGTCTGCGCGTCCGGCCCCGCGCAGCGTCCCTGATCTAGGGCCTAAGGGGCGTGGGCAGGGCAGGGGGATACCTGATTCTCAGTAACTCTAGAGGCGGCGGCAGCTTCGCATGCAGTGCGCATTATTGCTCTATAGTCAGCATCGGACTAACTAAGAGGGGGAGGGAACGGGCAGCCCCGGGAAGGGAGGGGAGGAGGGTTGGGGCTGCATGCAGTGACGTCACAAAGGCGGCGGCCAATGGGGCGGGCCCTTGGGGCGGAGTCGCCGCCGAGGCTTTGGCATAGACGGGCGAGAGTTGGCAACAGAGTGGGGGAGGGGCCTGGGGCTCGGGGGAGGGGCCGGCCTCCGAGAGGCGGGGCCTGAGGCTCCCAGGAGGCGGGGCCCAGGCGGTGGCGGGGTTCGGGGGGGCGGGGAAAGTGATCCTGGACATCCCAAGCCCCGGGCGTCGGTGGGAAGGATGGGGCGTCAGCGCCCCTTCCCTGACCCGAGTGCAATCTGTTCATAAATAAAACGTACAAATACAGAAAGGAAGAAACCCGACGCATCCGCAACCCCCCCAGGGGGCTCTACCCGCGAAGCGAATACCGAGAGGCGTGGAGAGGCCCGTGCCCAGGCCTGCCTGCCGGGCCCCAGGAATCCGTCCTCCAACGCGGGGCGCCCGGGCACGAGGGAGGGAGCCCCGGGGCTGGGCGGGAGCGGGGGATCGGAGGAGGTCGGATAAGTCCATGCGATTCGATATGCGTCATTATATTCGTTATGGAGGACAGAGCCCGGGAAGCTGGGCTGGAAGAATTCGATTTGGCAGAGGAGGCGAGGCGAGGGTGAGGGAGCGGCTCGGACTGAGGCCCCCGAGGGAATCCGAGGGGAAGGGCGCCGCTGTCCTCCTCCCTCCCCGGTCCTCGACGCCCTGGCACTCCGGGGGTCAGCGAGGGCTGAGGAGTGGCGATGCCGCGGCAGGCCGCGCTCCTGCTCCTTCCGGGCCTGTGGCTGGGGAGGGGCCGGCTCCCTGGACGTCTGGGCCGCAGGCCTGGCCCTGGAAGGCGTGGGAAGGGGTGGGGAAGACCTGAGTCTCTGCGACAAGATCCAGGGGCGCAGAGGAGGGAGGAGGGGGCGCTCCCTACCTCACCCCACCCCCGTCTTCAGAAACCTAACTCGGAGATGAGGTTCGGTTCTGGGTCTCCTCGACCCTATTGCTGGGAAAAAGCCTGGGGCACCCTGAAGGGGAAGGGAGGGAGCTCGGGGTGGGTCTCCCCTCGGGACCCTATTGCTTGAAGGGGCCGGCGAGGCCCCTGTCGGGCGGGGCGGGGCCCCCTCCCCCTATTGCTGTGAGGAGGGGCCCACCCTCCCGCCCCTCCACCCGAGCGCCGGCGGAAACTTCCCTGGGGGCCTATATTGCTGCGAGCCGACCCAGCTGACCGAGGCGCCGCCGCCCTAGGCCTGCACGGGGCTGAGCTGCGGTGCGGCCGGCGCGGGGGCCGCGGGGCCGCCGCCGCCGCCGCCGCCGCCGCCGCCGGCGCCGCCCTTGAAGCAGGCGGACTCGTAGTGCTTGTTGAGATAGGACTTGAGCGCGAAGCTCTTCTTGCAGCGCTTGCACTGGAAGTGCTTGAAGGCCGAGTGCGTCTGCATGTGCGCGCGCAGGTTGGAGCGGTCGGCGAAGGCCTTGCCGCAGTGCGCGCAGCCGAAGGGCTTCTCGCCGGTGTGCGAGCGCATGTGGCCCTGCAGCAGCCAGGGCCGCGAGAAGGCCTTGCCGCACACGCCGCACTTGTGGCGCAGGTCGTGCGTGAGCAGGTGCATGGCCATGGCCGGCATGGACACGTACACCTTGCCGCACGTCGGGCAGCGCCGCGCCAGCTGACTGTCCAGGCTGCGGTGCGTCTGCTTGTGGCGGCTCAGGTTCGACGACGTGGCGTACGTTTTCCCGCACTCGCCGCAGGCGTGCCGGCCCCCTGCGCCGCCGGCCCCGGGCCCCGCGCGGGCCTCGGTGCCCGCCCCTGCGCGTGTGCTCGCCCGGCCGCCGGACCCCACGGCGCGCGCACCTGCCACAGCCCCGCCTCCGCCGCCGTCGCCGTCGGGGGCCGAGGCCGTGGAGGGGGCGGCGGCGGCGTTGGCATTGGCGGCCTTGCGGCGCGAGCGCCCGTCGGTGATGAAGAAGGCGTCGGCCGCGTAGCCCTCGCTGACGGCCGCGTCGCCGTTGATGTAGCCGCCCGCCGCCGTGGCCAGCTCCGGGCGCGGGGTGGGCGGCGGCGCCGAGCCCACGGCCGCCGGGCCCAGCTCCCCCCGTACCGCCGCAGCGTACATGGGCTCCGGGGACGGCCCTTTAAGCAAGGCCGCCTCGGTGTCGCCATCGTAGACGGAGGCAGGACCCGCGTAGTCGTTGAGGTATCCTGAGGTCCGAGGCGAACAGACAGGCAGACAGACAGCGGGGAAGGAACCGGGCAGCGGGCGAGACACACACGGGCGGGCGGCGGGAGACGCCGGGGTCCGGAAAGAAGGGAGCGGGAGAAGGACAAAGGGGAAGGGGCCGGGGGGCCCGCGGGGCAGGAGGGCGAAGGCGGCAGGGAGGGGAAGAGAGGAGAGGAGAGGAGAGATGAGACCCAGTCCGGCCCAGCTCCGCCCCCGCCTCCCGCCGGCCCCACCCTCGCAGAGGGAGGAAGACGCGCATCTTCGGCGCGGCTGCCCCCCTTCCGCGGAGCCTCAAGGTCAGGGGGGAGGGGCGGCGCTTCCCTCGCCCTCCTTCCCCTTCCCCTCCCCCTCGGGTTCTCCCCACTTCAGCAGTTTTCTCTGATTATGCAACACACTGCAGACCCGCAGCGCACAAAGCCGGCGGCTCCTGCCCAGGGACCCCGCCGCTGCGGCCTCTCGGGGTTCCCACCGGCTCTCCCCGCGGGCCCGCTCCCAGCCTGGACGCTGCCCCTCTCCGGTGCTCTAGGTCCCACAGTGAGCCCTGGGGACGCGCTCCTCCCGCGGGCCCGGAGCCCCCCCTAGCCCCACCCTCTCACCTCCCTCACTGGGCTGGACCCCTTCTGGTTCCCGACCTCTGTCTCTCCCTGCACTTTCTCCGGTCACCCTGCACCCTTGGGTCCCGCCTTGTCCCCGTTGCCCTTCTCCCCTGGCCCTAACCCCCGCGGGGGCCTTCCCGAGACGGGCCAGGCAGCCAGGGCGTCCACCAGGGCACACCTTCCCAGCGACAGGACGCCGGTCACTGCAGTTGCTCCCCGGCAAGTGAGGTCTCTCAGCCTCAGTCACGGACGCACACTCAACACCAGGCGGACTCTGGCTCCTTCGGGGCCACCGCAGCCACCAGCAGCCCTGGAGCCCCCCCCCCCACACACACACACACAGGGGGCCGCACGCCGGCCCCGGGACACCGCAGCCGCCCGCACAGACCCTCGGCAGGGCTGCCAGTCACATGGGCGCACAGTGGCCCCGGAGTCACATGGCCCCAGGTAGTGGCACACAGGCAGGCACACACTCACACGGGGTCACACACACGCGCAGTCACATGGCCACACGCAGTCACATGGGCGCACACACAGGTTCGTGCTCCTGCAGGTCACACTTGTCCTGCCGCCCCGTGTTGCTGGCACCCCGGCACCCTGGCCCGCGTGCCAGCAGTTGTCCTTGAACTTGGGGGCCCGCACACAAAGAGCTTCCCCCTGCCTGCGGCACTCGGACCTCCCCTGCCCGCGTCCTTCTTCCTGGCCCTGGCTTCGGGGAGGACCCTGCCGCTGCCTCTGCTGGCATCTGCACCTGACAGGTGGGCGGCCCCGCCGGACCCGTGGTGCCTGCTCCCTGGAGCTCACCCCTGCCCCTGCTGGCCCCGGCAGGCGGTCCGGGGAAGAGCAGAGGGTGCCCGGCAGGCCCCGGTTTCTGGGTGTGGGGCCTGTCCCGGCAGCAGGGGTCCCTGCGGCGTGGGCCCCAGTGCGGGTCAGTGTCGTCGGGGTCTGCAGGCGCCCCCTGCTCCCCACCCTCTCTCAGCGCTGACACTTTCGCTGTCCAGCCGGCCGTGGGCCAGCTCTGGTCTGGTTCTGGTCTGACTCTGCGCTCCCCTCTCCCCGCCCCCATCTTCTTCCACTCCGCGGTCGGGGTTCAGCCACCGCCTCCCGCCGGTCCGCTTCCCCAGGGTCTGTCGCCCGGGGCCCCTGCCCCTCCCCCGGGCCCGCCGGCCCGCCACCCCTCTCGCCTCTGCCCAGGGCCCCCCGCCGCCCCCGGCCTCAGCCCGGCTCGCACCTTTCTCGTGCAGTCGCACGCCGAGGTCGCCGCGGGCGCGCCCGTAGGAGCTCTCGAGGTCCGCCGAGGAGAACGTGTCAAGTTTGACCTTCTTGACCAGGAAGGACCTGGGCATGGTTCCTGCGGGGCTCCGGCGCTGCGGGCCTGCGGAGCCGGGGCGCGGGGGGGCTGCGGCCGCGGCGAGGCCCCGTCACCATCCGAGGAGCGGCGGGAGGCAGCGCGGGTCCCCGCTCCGGCCTTCGGGTGCTGCGGCAGGAGCGCCTCCGCCTCCGCCCCTTCCTTCCTCCTGGCTCCGCTCTTCGCCCGTCGGCTCTGGTCTCTTCTCTCCCTTCCCTCCTTCCTCTCCTCCTTCCTCCTTCCTCCTTCCTTCCTTCCTTCCTTCCTTCCTTCCTTCCTTCCTTCCTTCCTTCCCTCCTCTGGTCCCGGCTTCCCAGCCCGCAGTGCCGCCCCTGGACAGGCGGGGGAGGAGGCTGGGGGGGCGGGAGGGGGGAGCGGCTCCGTCCCGGGCCCGGAGGCTGCGGGTGGGTGCAGGGCTGGCCCGGCTCCGCGGCCCCCTTCCCCTCCCCCCCGCCGCCGCGGCGGAGCCTCAGTCAGCGACCCCCCATGTCCCCGGGGGTGGCGGCGCCGGGCCCGGCGAACACGGCGGCGGCGGCGGGAGCGGCGGCAGCTTCAGCACCGCGGCCAGCGCCGGCCCGGCCAGCACCTCGGCCAGCGACCGGGCGCGCTCTGCCGGCGCGGGCGGCGAGGGGCGGGCCGCGGGGGCTCGGCCGCCGGGCGGGGGTCCTCGGCGGGGGTCTCCGGGAGGCTCGCTTTATTGTTCTGCAGCCCGAGCGAGCGGCGGCGGCGGCGGCGGCGGCGGCGGGCGGGGGGCGGGGGTCCTCGGGGGGAGGGGTGCGCAGGGAGGGCGGGCCGAGGGAGAGGGGTGGGGGGAGACGGGGGCTCCGGGGGCGGGGCTCGGCGCTCGGACAGCTCCCGGGCCCGGCCTCCTGCGCCCGCCGCCGCCTCTGCCTGCGGCCCGGCCCAGCCTCCGGCTTTTAAAGCCGGGGAGCAGCGGGAGGGGGCGGGCGGCGGGGCGGCGGAAGTGGCTGCGCTGGGCCGGGCCGGGCCGGGGTCTCCTGGGAAGGGTCCTGGGGACGCCGCGGCCCCCGCACTCGGTGGTTCCCCGCGCAGCCCCGGGATCGGCAGCCCGCGACCCGCGGCATTGTCGGGGGTGGGGGGGACGGGGCGACCGGCCGGGGACCCACGAGCCCGGGACTTGGGGTCTTTCGGGAAGGGAGCCGGGGCGACCTCAGGCTGGTCCCGCGCGCGCGCCCGCCCACTTTCGGGGCGAAGGCCAGGGACCCGCAGGGGCGGGCGGGGCGGGCGGGGCGGGCGCGGGTGCTGAGGCAGCGGAAGCGCAGCGACAGGCTCCGCGCGCGCCCCGTGCCGCAGTGTCTCCCTGCCCCTCGGTCACCCGGGCTGACCCCGCGCCCGCGGGCGAGGCTCCCTCCGCCCGCCGCTCTCCCAAGGGGCCGAGGCCGCGCGCGGCGGCGACCGGGCGAGCGGCGCGCGCGGCGGAACGGGGGCTGCCCGGCCCGGGCTCCAGAAATGCGGCTCCGCTGGTGGCATCCCGCCCCTCCGCGCGGCTGCAGCCCCCACCCCCACCCCGCGGCCTGGTAACCAGGCGGGGAACCCTGCCCGCGGCCGCCCACCCCGAGATTGCGGCCCCCATGACGTCAGGCCCCGCAGCCAATGGCGGGGCGCGAGGGTGCGGGGTTGGGGGGGCCGTCTCCGAGCCGCACAATGGCAGCGCGCGGGGACATGCGTCCCTCATTAGGGCTCGGAGCCGCCATTGTCCCTTCTCCCGCCCCCGCCGGGCCGGGCGGTCCGGGTCTCCGCCGTCGGAGCGCGCGCCCCTGCGGCCTGCGGTCGCCGGGGGCCAAGGTCGCTGGGGTGGCTCCGGGCGCAGCGGAGCCGGGAGCTCGGGCAAGGCCGGGGTGCGCGCGCCCCCGTCGCTGCACACGGTGACCTTGTGCGGGGCCCGCGAGCACCGGCCGGGAGCGCGCGGCGGCCGGCCGCGTCGGGGGCGCGCGTGCGGGGGCGTGCGGAGATTGCTGAGCTCAGCGCCCGGTGCAGCCCGCACTGCGCCCCGCTTCCCCCCGCGTCTCCGCCCAGGAGCCGTGCGAGGGTGGGTGCGCGCCAGCGCGGCGCCGGGACGCGGCGGAGACCGCGGGCCTGCTTTGTGGCCGGCGGCCCGGGCCGTGGCGGCGGCGGAATATTCATCTTGCGTGGCAGGCGCTCCCGAGGGGCGGGGGAGGAGCGCAGCCGCCCCCTTATCGCCGAGCCGCAGCCGGCGAGGTCCGAAGTGGGGGCGGGTACCGGGATCTTCATCCATCGAGCCGCTGGTCCTCGCTCCCTCCCAGGGGGGCTCGGCCGAGGCGCAGCCGGAGGCTCGGGGCCAATTAGCATTTTGATTGCGGGACTGGGGGCTCATCTGGACCGAGGCCTAATTACGGGACGAGCCCTCCAGGTGCTGGCGGCACGTGCCAGGCTCCGTCCGTCACCTCGCGCTGCCGCCGCCGCCTCCCGAGCACCCCGCCCCACGGCTGCTCCCCGACCACACCGCCGCCCCCTCCGTTAGCCCCGTCGCCCTGTCGCTCTGGCCCTGACCTTCGTCCCTCCGTCTTCACCTCTTTCCTCTGTCGCCCTTCACTGCCCCCCGCTGTCCGCGTCCGCTCGCTGTGCCCGGCCCGGCCTCCCTCCGTCAGTCTCCCCAGCCCCTTGGCCCCCCAACCCTCTCCAAAGAGGAGGTGTCGGGGCCCTGACACATGTGCCCCGCCACCGGGTGCTCCCGAGGGGGCCGTTCGGACGGCCCTTGCCCTCGCCCTCTGCTGGAGCTCACAACCCCTTGGGGCGCGCGGCGGGGAGGGGCAGCTGGGCCCAGGCTCTGGCCATCGGTCCGAAGCCTCCTGGGTGCGCAGCGCACATGTGCCGCCTCAATTACTTGGCCTCCTCGCCCCGACCCTCCGCCCCATCCCGAGGTCCTTGGGCCCGGCCCTGGGGTCCAGCGAGGAGGGGCTGGGAAAGGACAGTTGGTGATTCTCGCTCCTTTGGAAAGTTCCAGCCCTGGTCCTCCGGGCCGTCCTGCATTTCTGCCTCTCAGAGCTGGAGCGTGGGAGGGGCTTCATTGCTGCAGAGGAGACTGGGGTCCCCAGGCAACTCCACTGCGCCCCCCAGCAGACCCAGCTTTGAGCCCTGGGGACTCTGCCCCCCAGTCCTGGTGCACAGCACTGCCGGGCCCAGCCCCTCGTCCAGATGGGGCTGGGGAGATGTCCCTTTGATGCCCCTCTGCCTCCCGCTGCTTCTGGGTGTGCCGCCTCCGGTCCTGAGCAGGTCCCCTGTCGCTGAAAGGCTAGGCTTCGAGGCAGACTCCAAGTGCTGTGTGGCCAGCCCTGCCCCAGCAGAGCCAGGAGGCCTGCCTGTGCCCACCAAGGGCCCTGTTGTCACCTTCCACCCCCCTCCCTCTGTCCTAGGCAGCCCCAGCCCAGCCCAGGCCGGCCTAGAGGGTCCACTCCTGGACATCTCCCTCCCTGGCTGCCAGGACCGGACCTTGGCTCCCTGGCACCTCAGCGGCCCCAGGCTTCTCTTCTTTCGCAGAACAGGGGGGCGGGGTGTCTTTCCTTCCCAGAAGCACACTGGTGTCCTGGGTGGAGAGCTGTGGCCCCTGGCCTGCTGCTGCTGGCTCAACCCCCTTTCCCGCTGTGAAACGGGACTCGGGGCCCTGCAGTGCCTCCCCGCCTGCAGCCCAGGGCCAAAGAATTGCTGCACCTTTCAAGCCTCCCTCCCTCTCAGTGATGGGGATCGTGCCCTCCAGGCCACAGCAGGGCCTGTCTCTGGGCTTTGTTGGGACAGGCCGGGGTGGGTGTGGGCGCTGTCGACAAGAACTCGGAGATGTGGGCACGTCTGGAGCCATTTCTGCCTACACCGCGAAGACCTGCACCGAACTCCAGGCTGTGCTCGGCCGGGCGAGGCGATGGATGGCAGCAGATGCTGGCCGCTGTGCTCCTGGGGCCCACAGCCAAGCCCAGGACGAGAAGCTGCTCAGAGTGAAAGGTGGCCCAGGCGGGCGACAGTCGTGATGGGGAAAGCAGGAGGAGAGGCAGGGGAAGGCTGCTGAGAATCCAGAGTGTGGGGAGAAGCCAACTGTGGAGTGTGCGGCCGGGAGCCCTAGGCCACAGAGGTGTGGGTGTTTGAGGAACGTTCCGGAGTCTGGGGAAAGAACCACCTGAAAGGATGAGAAGGAGCAGCCCCTGGAGCTCACGCAGGGCGGGGAACTCGCCAACCACAGGGTTTCCTCCACCGAGGGCAAAACTAACCCTACACAAAACCCCATGTGAGGCCCCTAACCAAGATTAGCAGCAAGGCCTGAAGGGGGTCACACGATTTCTTTCTTTTTAAAAATATTTTATTCATTTTTAGAGAGAGGGGAAGGGAAGGAGAAAGAGGGAGAAAAACATCAATGTGTGGTTGCCCTGACCAGGAATCAAACCGGTGACCATTTGGTTCATAGGCTAGTGCTCAATCTACCAAACCACACCAGCCAAAACTTTTGTATATATATATGATTTTATTTATTTATTTTTTTGGAGAGGGGAAGGAAGAGAGGGAGAGAGACATCATTGTGTGGTTGCCTCTCGAATGCCCCCACTGAGGACCTGGCCTGCAACCCAAGCATGTGCCCTAGACCGGGAATTGAACCGATGACTCTCTGATTCGCAGGCCAGTGCTCGGCCACTGAGCCCCACCAGCCAGGGCTGGGCGCACACGGTTTCTGATCAGGCTGCATTGCAGGGCCAACGTCAGGGTCGTTCGTAGGAAGACACACCATCTGGAGCCCAACAACGTGCAGTTCACATGTGGCTGCCAGCGCTGAAACTGCCAGGTGGTCACAGAGCCAGGAAACCACTGCTCAAAACGAGGAGCAGAATCCACAGCCAGAGCTGAGCCAGAACCGGCACAGGGGATGGGATTTGTGGACAAGGGCGTCACCATGGTTGGGGCTCCATCCCAGTCCTGGGGGCTGGAGGAAAGACTGAACGTGTCTTTTTTTTTTTTTAAGATTTTATTTATTTTCAGAGAGGGAAGGAAGGGAGATAGAGAGAGAGAGAAACATCAATGTGCGGTTGCGGGGGGCCATGGCCTGCAACCCAGGCATGTGCCCTGACTGGGAATCGAACCTGCGACATTTTGGTTTGCAGCCCGCGCTCAATCCACTGAGCTACGCCAGCCAGGGCTGAACATATCTTTTTTAAAAAACCCTCACCTGAGGATATATTTATTGATTTTAGAGAGAGAAGAAGGGGGAGAGGGAGGGAGAGAGAGAAAGAGAGACATCGATATGAGACAGAAACATTGATGGGTTGCTTCTCATAAGCTCCCTGACCAGGGACTGAGCCCACGCCCTAGGCATGCGCCCTGAC